AAGATAAGAAATACTAAGAAATAGAATGTAGTCCCAAATCACTGAAATTAAAAAAGAAAAAAACTTTTGGGTGTTTCATCTCACCAGCCAGTAATGTTGGTGAGCGGACAGTCCCTCCGGACTATGCCGGAAGGTAAGGTGGAAGGCCCTCTTCAGCTTGCTTTCAGGAATCGTGGGAATGGGTGGGTGGTGGTTCGGATGAGAAAGTTGAGACGGACGAAATGAAGACAGAAGAGAATGAAAGATTATCTGTGAAATATTACTGCCTCAGCATTCGCCTAAGTGATCCAAGGAAACTACAGAAAAACTTGAGCCAAGGCAGACGGACCCGAAATCGAACCGGCGTCCTCCTGAATGCTAATCAATGGTCTAAACTTCTAGACCATGCCTCTCGATAAAAAAAAAATTATCTAAGAAAACCCATCGTAAAATTGTAATTAAGAAATGATGCTAACTACGGACGACATGCAGTTAGTACACAAAACCGAAATGCTATTAGGGATTACAGGAAAGTATAAGTAATTAAGGTTATTGATATTGATAGAATTGACTACAAAAGAATTTGAATAGGAACATTTACATATACACAGAGACACAAGGATTTATTTACAAAAGGGTGTAATAAAATGTTTAAACCGAAATAGCAAAATTTTTATCGGCGTTTTCCTGAGATATCTGAATAGAATAAATCTAAGTATAAGGATGGGTAATAGTTGATATCTATTTCTATTGAATTTTGGGCCTACGAGAATATTTTGATGTATGTACAGATATAAAAATTGAAATGCTGTTAATTTAAATACGGAGGCGTTATCCGCCACACATAAAACATCTGAAATTCAATAGTTGGCCTACGTCAAACTTGACAATCAGGAATCAAAGTTTAATTTTAACAATTTGCTAATTGCTTTAAGATTGGCTGTATAACTTTGATTTGGCGAACGATTTGACATGATATTGGTGTTACGTTTCGGTGGAGAAAGTTGTAGAAGTGTTTGAGAATATCGAAGAAGATTTCTTGATAGTTTGATCCCCTACAGAGAAACATTTTCCAATATCGAAAGGCGAGTTCGAGAAACAGGCAAGCCTTTTAATGATACTCGAGAACCTTTCAGTACAATTAGGGGCAGAAGACGAAATACAGGGACGGCCACAATCAAGTATACGATTTTAAGTAGCGGTCATGTACATTGTAATGAAAGGAAAAGCAAAAAGGCATGGGTAGGACATTTATTTGTATTTAAAGTTTAAGCCTATAATGAATTAAAGATGATGTCAGTTAAATGGCCGCCTCTAACTCCGATGCACAACGGTATGTTCCATAATTCTAATCGAAACATTTGACGCTATATCCTCTGTTTCTTGACGGATGTTATGTTGTAGCGTCCTAGGGTTATTGGTGTATATCGTTCCTTTGAGATAGTCCCATAAGAAGAAATTAGGAAATCGAGAAATTATCCGCCCAGGAAACATTTTGCGCATAATGGTCATCGCCTCTCTCTGGATGTGCGCAGTAGCACCGTCTTGTTGCAACCACATATTCTCCTGTCCTAGGACTTCCAACTGATGTGACAAAACATATTCAGCATTGCTTTATAGCGGCCTCCTCAAAGAAATATTCATCAATTACACCTTGGGCAAAGACTGAAGAATACGAGGGTTTTCTGTACTCCAGTAGTTGCAATTCTGCTTACTTGTAAATCCACTTAGTTTAAGTTAAAATGAGCGTTGCAAGGATTGTTGATGGTTTCTGGGAAGAAGCTGCTGTGCCACTTGGATTTTGTACTGAAAACATGCAAATGAAACTTCAAAATTCACCCCAGAGACGTCCATGACATGCCTAACTGTGTGGTACGTATTTCTGTTGACGTTCTTAGATCTTTTGCAATGCTTTCTCTTACACGTCGGATATTTTCAATTGACCGTACTATTCGTGGTACTGTAATATGCCTTACATAGGCCTTTGTCCCGCTACGCCGAAATTGTTCAGAAAAACGGCATATTGACTTTCCAGTTGGAGCAGAACGGGTAGGATAAAATCACTATTTCTGCGCATTCCTCTAACCTGTATCGATTCAAAATAAAACTTAAATATGTGTACCTACTGGTGAAATGCCAAAAGCAAACTAACGAAACCTGTTAGATAAAATTATGACAAACAACTCAGCATTCCTATCGTAGCTGACGATTGACTAAAACTACATCAAATATTGAACTCGGACTAAACTGCTAGATAGACATTATCCACATAACCCATGCAAATAATTATTGCATAAATACTCTGAATAAATCAGTCTCGCAAATAGACTCATCATCTTCTAACTACAAATATACTAAATCACATCCTCATCCTACTCCAGTGCAGCAAATAGACTGCAGACTGGCAACTGTATCTATTAGCGTCACGCACGCTACATTGGTGATCAATACGTATCTTCTCATGGAGAAATAAGCTACAGCACCGTCCGATGGACCACAAACTGCTGCTAGGCCTTATACCAGGAAAATAGTTGTCATCTTTATCGCCATATCAATAACTCAGGTCAACCAATTCAAGCTGCGTCAACATGCAACCCCTCCCTGCCGCTACTAAATCGTCTATCGACCGTTCAGCAGTCAAATTGTAACCCTCCATATCGTTCGACCCGGAGTTATGATTCTGCATGGTTGATCGCAGTTTCGATGCCTCTGCGGTCACTTCGGAAACTTACAACTTTGGGAATGTACCTACTTGGTGATCTTGATCCTCGACATGTTTCAGAGGACGTGACATTATCATCAATCCTCCGGCGGAAGAACCATGCAGCACAATCAAGACAGACGGTTTTATGTTTCATAAGAGGCATGCATCAAGCTAGTACTCGAAAAAGCAGAACTTGACCACCGTAAATCCCTCCAGTTCCTTTGCCATTTTTTTTAGCGTAGGCGGTGTCACTATCACCGACAGAATTCTACGAACCAAATGGTTTATAGCCTCCTAACTCACATCCAGTCGAACCTTGCTACAATGAAAGACAATGACCTGGATGACTTTGCCGAAATTTCCGACAGCATCATTGACTCGGTCTACGAACACACTATAACCAGTGCAACCCCCCATAACGGTCCCACAATACAAAACCTGGTAGAAATGATCAACTCCTTCAAAATGGACTTTAACGATATGAGGCGGCGAATCTTAAGATCCTCGTTGCGTTCGTATAGTTTTTCCCGGAAGTGTCACCCAAATAGTGGTTATAGAACAAACCGTCACTAGTAGTTAGGTATCCAACGTCGTCTTTTCATTACGGACTGAGTCACACATCTACAATTTCTGATCGGCACAGATACTGACATCTACGTATATCCCAAGTCTCTAATAGGTATTTGGTCACGTCCAAAATCATCATTTATGTTAGAAGCAGCAAATGGCTTCGTCATTTCGACCTACGGCTGTTCCTTAACTTAGGCCTGCGTAGAAATTTCGAATGACGATTTATAATTGCAGATGCTAACAAACCAATAATAGGCACTGATTTCTTGGCCCACTGTCAATTGCTCTTAGATTTAAGCTACCAATATCTCTTAAATTAGCTCACCCACCTCACCCCTTGTATGACGATTTACTCAAGCAATTTCCGTCAATACAGAGCCCCGACAGTCATTTTATGCAATATAAAGTTTCTATGCAATAGGTTTACTCCTTTGATCTGACTAAAATACCCGGTATTTTTTGCAGGCCATCATTCAATAGCTTTACCGAAGTGTTTAAATACAAAATATTTGTACTGTGACTTCACAATGGCACTCTGTACAAGCCAACCCCAGGTCTATATAGAAACTTTATACTGTTACGATGCATTACGTAAACGCTACTACCGATCCTACCGTAGCTCGTAGGCCACCACGTCTAGCTCTGAACCGATTTTCAGCAGTCAAAAGAGAGTTCGAAACGCAATTGCAGCTGAGGATTACTCGCCCTTCCTCCAGTCCGTGGACATTGCTACTAACCGTCTCATCTTACTCACCCCAACCACAACTCACCCACTCCCATTATTCCTAAAAGGAGGCTGAAGAGGGCCTTCTGCATAGTCCGGAGGGACTGCCCGCTCACCAGAATTAGTAGCTAGTGGGAATGAAACACCCATTTGCGTAATCCAGCCATGGATTACTTCTAAGATTTTAGACACTCCTCGAAAGTACCACCTGAAGTTTGTTTCTAGTTCCATCTGGATTCTTCCAATTCTTTTGAATAAGGATTGGTCCAAGTAAAAAACTTCAGCTCAGCCCAATAACATTTCGTTGTCTGACTTAGGTAGCTCACATCTGCCCGCGACTGTCTTGATGTTCCGGCTTTTTTCTATCTCATTGTTAAGCCAATAACTTCTTCCTTCCTCTGGTTTTCGATAAATTCATTATCTTTCCAGGATCTTCTTTGGTGGTGCCCAATCCTTGAATTAGTTGAGTTAAATCTTTCCCGTATGAGGGAGAACAGAGGACTGTATGGAAGTCAATAAGAAATAGACGAGATAGACGACACCTTCTCAGGTATGAAGGTCTAGTCAGAGACATATTAGGAGTTAGGAGTTAGGAGGGGTAGAGGCAGACCTTTATTAGATTACTGTTCGCAAATAGTTAAGGATGTAGGTTGTTCTAGTTTTAGGGAATACGAAGAATAGCTTAGGGTAGGAAAGAGTGGCTGATAACTACCCACACAAAATTTTTTGTGGTAAATATTGTCAATTGTCTCATTTCAATCAACTTTAACAAAATAGTAGTAGTAAAATTACAGGATTATTAATCTTCTAAAAGACCTCATAGCTTTATTTTAAATAAAAAATAAACGTTAATTAATTTTGAGTTTTTAGTTGTGGATATTTTGCTATCACTTAGTAGTATGTAAAGTAAATTTCTTTATTGACTTCTAATCGTCAATCAGCAAAATTGTGGTTCGAGCTACAGAAATTTCGGACTAATGAGAAATACCATTTCTTCGAATTCCAATCAGATTTCAATATATTAACACCATGTGGCGTAGTTGTTTTTAATTTGAGGATACAAATAAACATGAAGTAGTTTACATTCTGCTTTAAAATTTTAAAGCACGTGTTGATTGAAATGTTTTACACTGAATCTTATTATTCCAAACACGGTGACTTCAACTATTGGTCTACTTAGTCATGAAGAAGTTTAAGAAACACGACCACCAGGTTAAGTGTTTGTGCTGACAAGTAATACCGTTGGAATTGGAAATTAAGTATCGATAGTAATTTAATTTTAAGTGCTGTATTTGTTAGTGTCTTAAAATGTTTTCTAAGAAGAAAAAGAAGCCACTGATTTCACCTCCAACTAATTTCGAGCATCGAGTACACACGGGTTTTGATAAACGCGAAGGTCGATATGTAGGGCTTCCTTTACAATGGGCGTCAATAGTGGGAAACAACCAAATACTAAAATCAACAAACAGACCTTTGCCTTTAGTCGACCCTTCTGAAATAACTCCAACAGAAATATTGGATTTGAAAACAATTGTTCGAGGAGATCAAAGTAAAGCTGAAAATAGGTTAAGTGCACATCAACAGAAACCTCCAAACACTAATGGAATTGTACTCCCTAAAACATCGAATGTTGCCAGATCTAATTCCTTAAGATCCTCCAGTCCTCCTAGACTAAGAAGAGATTATCGCAATAATGCAAATGTACCACCAGCAGTGCCTGAAGAACAAATTATGCAATATCCCTCATTAAGAAGAGATCCTTGTATTAGTAAACCACAGGTAAGTGTAAATGAAAAAGTGCTTAGTAGAGGGTAGTAAATAAACCTACTCTGCAGTTACAATTAGAAACAGAAGAATTTCAATCCTACATGTTGAAAAGCAGAAACTTAACTATTGCTTTTAAACTGAAATAATTCAGCTCTATTTTATTGTAGGTTCGGGATAATTCACCAGCAGAACGCTCTTTAAGTAACCATGAGGTTCATGGGACCCATATGAATGGCAATATACAGGAACCTTATGTAGGGTATCCAGTGCGAGACCAAATGCAAATTTCTCCAGCTGGTTCTATGGCATCTGGACCAACAGCAGCTCAGCATTTTCCTAATCACACTCACTCAAATCATCCCAGTTCTACTGCTCATGTTACTGTTCCTCACTCACATGGAACATACCCTGCAAGAGCTGATCAAAATCAAAATATTAAAAATGGAGCTAGTGGAACTCCTGTACAACATCCTGCTCCATCGTCTGCTAGTTCTACTACTTCCAATAAACAGCATCATGAACAGATATTAACACACGAACAGGTAAGTGTTTTCTACAAATAAAAATTAAGTAGAATATACTCTTGGATTGATTCAGATTTTGTAAATCTAGGTACAGTATTTCGGTAACTTCAGAAGTATTATAGCATTATATTAAATGCCTTAACAGTAAATTGATTTATAAAAAGCTGTTGGCAGTATATCGCTATCTATTGATAATTACTACTAACTAATTCATAACAAAATCGAATCAAAGGTATTTGTTTGTAAACTGAATCTGCGACGCAGCTTTCTTATATGAAATTTAAAAGGTCAGCTGCAAATATTAGTAGATGACAATATACTATCAATTACATGATATAAAGAACGCTGTTGTTTTACAGTTCAGGGCAGCACTTCAAATGGTAGTATCTCCAAAAGATCCCAGGGAAACTTTGGAGCAATTCATGAAAATTGGGGAAGGTTCCACAGGAACGGTTTGCATTGCTAGAGATCGTAATACTGGACGCCAAGTAGCGGTAAAAAAGATGGATTTGCGTAAACAACAACGACGTGAATTGCTTTTCAACGAAGTTGTTATAATGCGCGATTACCACCATCCAAATATCGTCGAGATGTACGATAGTTATCTGGTAAACGATGAATTATGGGTCGTCATGGAATTCCTAGAGGGTGGTGCCTTGACCGATATTGTGACGCATTCCAGAATGGACGAAGAACAGATTGCTACAGTTTGCAAACAGTGTCTCAAAGCTCTTGCTTATCTACATTCGCAAGGAGTCATTCACAGAGATATTAAATCGGATTCAATTCTGTTAGCCCTTGACGGAAGAGTTAAATTATCAGATTTTGGATTCTGTGCTCAGGTAAGGAATGACCTAAAACAGGTGGTTTAGTTTAATGAACAATAAATAAAAAATTAACTTTCATTACTAAATAAGTGCATTGCCACCTATGAAACACCGGTTGCATCCCATTTTCTTTTACAGGTGTCGCAAGAACTCCCGAAACGTAAATCTCTTGTCGGAACACCTTACTGGATGTCACCAGAGGTCATCAGCAGGTTACCGTATGGTCCCGAGGTTGATATTTGGTCTTTAGGTATAATGGTCATCGAAATGGTAGATGGAGAGCCACCATTCTTTAACGAACAACCTTTGTACGCCATGAGAAGAATACGTGAAATGCCACCGCCTAAGTTCAAAAATAGCCACAAGGTGTCGCCTCGTTTACAGAGATTTCTGGAGCGGATGTTGGTACGCGATCCTGCTCAGAGAGCAACAGCTGCGGAACTCCTTAGTCATCCATTTTTGAGACAAGCAGGACCTCCAGCGCTTCTAGTCCCGCTTATGAGGGGCACTGCTTCAAGACATACGAACTATTGAGGTATTATGAATGACTGTTTCAAGAAAGTTGATATGTAAATGTGGGAATGAATGTACATAAAATATTTTCCTTAAGATAAAGTTGCAAGTCTAATTCGTAGAGGAATACCAGAAAATGAAACGAAGTTCTATAGAACTGAATTAAGTACACCAATAAAACCCAAAATTCAGCATTAATACATTTTAAAAAACATAAAACGCATTAAACTCTAGATGGAAATAAGAAGTTTAGTGTTATATTTATGAAAAAAGAAAAAAATGCATGTACAAAAACAAAACTTGTTGATATTTGTTGATTCGAAATAATGATTGTTGATGAAGTTGGTTTGACTCTTATACACTAAAACACATAAATAAAGTTGTCTTTCCTTGATATTGATAAAAAACTATAGTTTACTGAAATTTTATATAGTATTATAAAATGGTAGGAAAAACAGTTTGATTTATATTGAACTGTTTGAATCTCACTTTATTTTTTATAATTGCGATTATTTGGTTACAAAATGTTAAATAAAATAATTATGGCTGTAGATATGAAAAACGAAAGCAATATCGAAATCAGTAATTTATTAGCTCGTGCATTTATTTTTCCTAGTATGAATCCAGGAGTTAACATTTTAATAAAGAAGCTGTTAATAAAATATTATTTGTTTATATTTTATTATTTTTAAGTACTTCCAAAACGCACCATAAATAGTCGTAAATCTATTCATCCATAGTAGATAAATTGTACTTAAACAGTAAAAAGTAAATGTAAAAGTAGGAGACAGTGTTAGTTTTGCATTTTTCTTGTATTGTTTTAGTAACATAACATTTGCCTAACTCCGGGATTCTTGACTAGAGGTAATACAATTTTTAACATTCCAATTCTTTTTTTATTTTTAAATAAATAGCTAAATTTTAATTTATTATTGCGATTTAATAATAAGTAGGATCTAAAACTACGATCTTCTCAAGTGCAAAATGCTATTTGCATAAATAATTCATTGTGATTGGTTATGTGCCTTTCCTTTACGATAGACATACCGTGCCTGATGTTTATTATAATTTAGTTTTACTTCTGAATTTTCTCTTATTTGGAAATATTAAGAATTTAATTTGTATATAATTTTTGTACTTTGTTATTAAGTTGTAAATATTAGATTTTATTTACATTACTTGAACAAAATTAATAGTATTTTAATAACATTTTTTTTTAGAAATTGACATGGTATAAAAGAAGTCAGTAAGTTAATTTAAATATGATTCTCGGGGATCATAAAAGAAATTTAAAAATTTTGTTCATTTTGTAACCCCCATAGCAACATAAAACTTCCGTGTATTTTACATATTAAGGATTTCTTCTGAAACGTTATTGCGTAGGTACGTTATCATGTTTTTCTGCTTTATCTTTTTCTTTCATTTACTCAGCTTATTATTATTACAAGAAAAGCTTCCAAGTATTAGTACAATATTAGATAGATATACGAAAGAAAATAGAAACAGCCGATCTGAATATGACTAGTATAATTAATGCAGCACTGTGAAACATTTCAATATTAAATTAAAACTCAATAGTGTAAAGTTTGTAAAACATGTTAATAACTTATAAAAGTGCCCCGATTTTTAATTGACTCCTCTACAATGTATCGTATCGATCAACAACGATTATTATTAAGATTACCTCTCTATATCTACATCTGAAAACTAATCCCACCTTATTTACAAATTACATTTTATATATATTAGCTTACAACTCTTCATTGTTTATTCGTATATGTGTATGTATAGAATGCGCAAATACCTCCCTAATCGTGTTCTTTATTTAAACATTAACTGTTTTTCTTAATACAAACATCACAGTACTTATAGCTCCGCTGCGTTTATATTATTTCTGGAAGCAATGGAACCAAAACCTTTAGTAAAAAGGACGAAGATAACCACAAGAACTCTCTTCGTTCATATTGTCTTTTCCTATCGAAACCTTATGATCCTAAACACTCAAGTAAAAGCATTGTGCCCTCACTCACTCACGTTAGTCAGGGGAACATTCCACTCAACTTGACAGAGCATCCCCAAACCAGAAAAGTTATAAGCCGAAGTAGTTAATTTCAAAATTCTCAACTCAAAAAAATATCAAGGAGGCATTCGAACGCCCTATATACATGTGTGTTATTTGATGAGAATGACATATTTCAAAGTCAGAATCATTGGAGTTTTGTAAGCTAATATACTTAATTACGCCTAGTTTTTTGTTATTATTTATGCTTGTACGGAGTATTTTTAAATTTTTAGTATTGAAGGAATGGTTAGAATCGGTACAATGTTTCGTCCGCGAGTCCTGTCTTTTTTAAGCATTTTATTAATGCTACAGTCCTGTTCTTTTAATCTGGTTTTTGATTATTTAAACTTGTTTTAAATACTAGAAATACATAGAAACTAAAAACACTGATTTAAAAATCCTATTCGACCATTTCCAAAAGATATAAAAGTGTATGTGCCTAATAACCGAAACGATATTGTGAAAAAGAAATTTAATAGTTTGTGAAATATTCCCAAAAAATGTTTTGTACTCGAGATTTAATACGAAAATTTTATTAATTGAAATTTTGTAATATTTGTATAAAGCAGAACTGGAAACTTTTACTCATAATTTAAGTACAATATTATTTTTAATATAAATTATTCATTCCTCAATAAAAATTCTATTTAATTTTTATAACAAAAATTTGAAAGCAAAGGTTTCAAATATATCAGATTATTGAGAACTACTTTTGAAACGTATTTTTAAATTCTCGTACACCACTGCTTTGTTCGCTAAATAATAATTAATTCCCGTACGATGAGGCAGAAGTAGAAACTTTTTTCACGCAAGCGTAAGGCGTCACGAGCCCTTCTTCATACTCAGTGGCAAGAGAACACGCATAACTGCGTCCATTACGCCCATCGTTGTCGTCCACGTTTATCAAAGCATATTGGTATTGAATGTGAATATAATAATAATTGTTTTGGAGATAAAATGCAACAAAAAAAAGCTGATCAAAATCAATCCAGTAGTTTTTGCGTGATTTCAATAAATTATTAAATGGTTTTCTGTTACCTGCTTAATACTATATAAACAAATAAACCTATTTTTGATATGAATGGCATTTGTAAAAATTATTAAAATTAAAATAAAAATTAAATGTTAAATTTCATGATGTTAACTAAAGTAATTTTAAAACTTAAATATTTCAATCAATTTCAGTTTTTCTTTTACATTCTAAATAAATGCGATGGTAAATAATAATTAATTCTATTAAAAATGCGAAATGTTGTAATGTACCTACACATTAAAATTGTATCTTTTAAAATTACATAAATATGTACACAACTAGAAATGTTAATGGGATTTTTATATTTAAAAGTTTAAAAACATCTAAGATTTTAGAGGAATTATAAAAATTGCATGTTTTTACTCAAAAACAAAAACTCGGTTGTTATCTGTACTTAATATTTTAAGTAATTAGGCTTGTTATTCAATCGACTTTTAGTATTACGTAGTGAAAAACCCATTTTGTAACAATTAATTAATCGCAAAGAAGTATTTCCAAAGGATATTGT